TTCCTCTCTGCAGTGTTATACTTCCAGCAGATGTCCGGTAGGTTGAAGTCCCCCACAAGAACAAGGGCTAGCGATTGGGAGACTTCTGCCAGTCACTTATAGAATGTCTCATCTGCCTCTTCATCCTGGTTGTGTGGTCTATAACAGACTCCCAGCAGGATATCTGCCTTGTTGGCCTTCCCCCTCATCCTTACCCATAAGCACTCGACTTGGTCTTCACAAGCGTTGATTTGTCCAATTCCTGTTGGAGCTGGTTGCGTTCCCATCCAGGGGTGTGCATGGATGATCTGTGCATTGAAGCAGTGGTGCCTGAGCCACACACAGCAAGTGTGATGAGGAGCTGGTTAATATGGACTTTGTTTTTGTTGGATGAAAAGCTTGAAGGAGCAGAAAACTCATCTAATGAAACCCATGCTGCTACTGTTGTTCAGCCAGTTAATAACAGAAGAGTTTCCAAAATTGATGGTCAGGTGCAGTGTTGGAATAAACAGTTTCTTTGGTTAAACACTTATTTTCTTAGCTTCCCTCTGCTTCAAAAACTTCTTGGATGCCTTGCATGTAAATTCCTACACTGGAATAACATCTGGTAACTCTGTGTGACAAGGAACAGAGGAGAATCCGCTGCCCAGCTGAGTAGGTTTTGTCAGAATTTAACTACCCTCACTTTTAAAATTGTATACCTTTTCTGGTAGGACTTTGTCTGGACTTGGCTTTCAGCTGTTAGATCTTGATCTACAGAAAGAAAAGAGGCTGGAGTTCACCTTTCCTTATCACTAAGTTATTTCTCTGCCATCAGTCACTTTTCAGTTGTTCGGGTAAACTATGCAAGCTGCTTTTTTTTCTTGCCGAAAAGCTCCGTCTCAACTCCTGAACTGTTTGAGGTTTTTCCTCACTTGTCAGTATGTCCAGCAGAAACCCCCTCACTGCTCCAGCCAAAGCTGTGCCCTGTGGTAAAACCCCATTTGCAGCATTTCCTCCCCCACCTTTATTGCTTCAAGGATAATGTGAACTTTTTTTTGTCCCAGCAGCATACCAGAAATATTTTGGCCTAAAGGATGTTGTATGCTACCGCATCGCTGACTAACACTGCCCTGGACATATTTGTGTGTTGAAATTTTTCCAAGAGATTAAATTAACCCAGTAGATGTAAAAAAATCTGCTTAACGAAACAAGACTGAAGTCCTGACTGTCTTATCTTCTTCCTTTGGCTATAACCTCCAGATTGCTTACCCAGTTGTTTGCAATCTGTATTTTAAGCAGACCATTCACTGTGTGTATTACCTTGTGCTACTTCTCCCTGCCAAGCTTCGTTTTCTTCTTGAGGTACTTCTGCATTTTTCAAGATTATTTTAAATTCTGATTCTGTCCTCTAACTTGCTTACAATCACTTCCAAATTAATGCCTTCTGTGAATTCAATAAACACAGAGCCAGCAAGACAGAATAGAAGGCACATGAAAATATTCAGCAGAGTGAGATTCAAACTCTTGCAGATCCTCAGTGAATAAATTGTTCTTTTTTGGCAATGTTCTTTACTGTTGTTTTATTTATTTATTTTTGAAGTCATGCACAGGGGCTTAACACTCCGTTGTGATGTTCCGAATAAAAACTGATGTAAAAATAAAACTCATCCAAGAGCTCAGGGGTTCAACCCCAAAAGCAAATGGTGAACTGTGGCTCAGTGGCTGTTCCTTGTTGATCCACCGAAGGAGGGGGAAAAAGATTAGCTATTTCTGCAGGTTGTGGTGTGCTAGCTGCATGATGGGGCTTCCCTTCATAAGGGATTATCCTTACTGGGTATTTAGTTTGTAACTGTTGTGTTAGGTCTATCATAAATACAGCTAGCACGTTGAAGTACTCTGTATACTCACAAAATCATGTGTGGCCATGCTATAGCTATGGCTAGTGCAGGGGTCTGTGCTTGCATCTGTGTGTGAGAAACGTGATCAACATAATTGATGATAGATTAATTTCTGTGTGTTTTTGTTCTCTATTCAAGCTCTCTGAAACGGGGCTTATAGCAGCACAGCTTCCACGGGAGAATCGGCATATGCATCCGCATCACTTCAGTGTGCAACAGATGGTATATGAATCCTAAGGTGATTCATCCGGCTATTTTTTGTAGGATTGGGGATGGTTTCTGCCATTGGCAAGCAGGGCAGTGTGTGTGAGGAGGCTGGGGAGAGGCGAGATGGTGTTAAGTATTAGGAGTGGCTCTTTTAAAGAGGGAATATTTAAAGCCTGTAACCCTCTGGACAAGGTTTCTGTTTATGTAATCTAGACTTGTTAATTTCTGAAGAGAAGATTCACTGACTTTTCCTGTTAATTATAGATACAGTGGGAATTGTGGACTCGTGCCACGATTTTTAAAGCAAGTTTGTTTTTTTTTTTTAAAGGAGAAATGGTGATGCTTCAGTATTCATGGTGGAATTAAAACTGTAAGCCGTTGGTATTAAAACTAACGTGCTCTGGTGCCTGTTGACATACTAGGTAAAGAAAACCTTGGTCTGTTTGGAGAAGAAATGTCTTAGAACTGAAGTGTGTTAAGACACTCTATCCAAATATTGGTTGAAGCAGATGTTTAAATGTAAGCAAGCCAAGCAGCACCTTATTTTTCCCCTTTTCTTGTGAAATGAGTGAAGGTAGGGTAGGGAAGCTGAAGGAATATAAAATAGAAAATCTTTTCATATTTTTATGGTTCCTAGACAGCTCCCTCCAAGACATCTCAGTGTATAGTGGGAAGGGAAATGATTTGCCAGAAGACTTCAGTGTTCTTTGGGGGTTGTGACTTAGGACAGCAAAACGATTTTGTGGGTTTGATTACATGCCCTTGCACCTCTCAAGAATTAAATATGACTGACTGCATCAGTAGGCATGTGAGGAAAAGCCAGCTTGTGTGTGGTGCCGCAAACCCATTACTGGGATTTATAGTGTGTGCTGCAGTGGGAAGGTACTGGATTTGCTCACTTCTGTCTCTTGAGGCTTGTCACTGTTGATGGGTCTGGGGTGAAACCCTCCTCCTCTCGCAGCCTGTGGCTGTTTGTCCTGCACCAGCTTGTACTGTTGTTCAACGCATCCATGGGGGCCTGGGACAAATTTGAATAAGGGATTCAGGAATCCTGCCCATCTGAGATGCTTTGCTTCTGAAAACCTACTCACCAAAGGGAATGTTTGCTCTGCCTTTGCGCAGGCAGCTTTTTAACTTTGTGGGAAACCAGATTATGCCTATGGAGAGCGGAATATGTTAAAAATTCACACAGGAATTCATATTTTGACACTTGGGAAAATCCTTTCCTCAAAGGCTGCCTACTGGATTCCTGTTAATTTAGCACTTCTACAGAGTTCACTGAAGTTTGCAGATGGATTAAAATGCTGCTGAAGTACAATACTGGAGATTTTGTTGAAAGTTTTATACTAAGATTTAAAAAAAAACCAAAACCCAAAAAAACCCAACCCACAACAACAACAAAAAAACCCCAGTAAAAACCCCCAAAAACATACCCCCAAAATCTTGGCTTAAATTCCCCTGCTGTCTTGACAGTCACCCTTACAGAGAACTAACATTTCTGGAAGCTTATTTGAAGAACACAAAACAAGCTTTGGCTTGTGCACATCTAACTGCCTTTTAGCTGTACCTTCAATGTTTGATGGCCAACATAAGTCATACAGCTCTTCTCCCTGCCAGTGGGAGATGGCAAATTCCAGCTGCAAGGAGGTTAGAAGAAAACAATGGGAGGTGATATGTTCTCGAGTAGCTTCAGTTGTTTCCTAAATAATTTGCTTACAATTCAAAGTATTTAAACATACTGAAATGAGGCAAGTTGATATGTTCTGGTTCCTGCATATCTTGCTGGTCCCCTCCAGGTGAAGGTGGCATGGAGTAGGAAAGAGTTGTCCGTTGGGTACAAGTTAGGCTTTGTCCCAGCTCAGCTGCATCGTTGGTCTTACAGGTGTAGAAGGCAACTGTTGTGACAGTGGTTGTTTTGAAGTGAACCTCTGATGGTCTTTTAAGGAAAACGAGATTGTAAGGTAGTCTGAAACCTGGCTGGAATGCTACAATATGCACAGTTTATGTTGATCTCGGTTATGAAATGAGGATCTTGACATAGTTTGACATAGCTTGGTCAGGTTAAATCGCAGGTGAGTCGCAATTAGAGAGGAGCTGTAGCAGCATCACAAATGGCTGCATGAAAAAGGCTTTGCCTGCATCTGTGACTCTCAGGTGTGCCCGCACATGCTGCAGTGACACCTTCTGATTGCAGTGCCGACTGACTTCCTAATGCTGAACAGCCAAGCAAATACACCTGTCATGCGCTGCAGCCGTCGCTGGGGTGGATAATGGCGTTTTTAACAGCATATGAACCTGCTTCTATGAAAAGGTATAGTGAATATGTTGTCGAAGGAAGGGTGAAGTTAATGGAGTGATAAGGACTGCAGGCATTGTGGGCAGATGGTAAACAAGCCTCTCAACAGCGATGCTCTTCAATCTTGTCTTATGCTACTGTGAGGCTGCAGCAGGGACTGCCGTTTGTGTGACAAATACGGAGAGTGTGACATTGAGGAGATGCACAGTGAGATGTATTTTAAAGCAACATAGCTACCTTGTTTTATGAGCAAGAGAGCCATCTTGTTTATAATAATTTGTTGCAGGGGTTGTTAGGCCTATTACATTTGTTCATTTAGTTCAACTAAAATTCGTGAGTGACTTGGTAGAAACTGGAACGATCAAATTATTTCAGTTTTCATCCTGAATCACTAATATTTTAAGAGTAAAACTGATGCTCGGGAATGATGCAGGAACCAACCTTTTTCAGAAAAAAGTGTCTGCTAGTGACTTCACAATTGTAAAGTCCAATAACTGCTCTCTTGCTTGTAGGAAGTTTAATTGCACAGTATGGATCTGTTGGACACGGAGTAAAACTCCTCCTGAAACCATCTCTAAATCACTTGCTTAAAACTTGCGCTGAAATTGTTCCTTGAATCTGTGTCTTTCTTCTTTTTTTTTAGTGGGGAAGACTTCCTTGATCACCAGGTTCATGTACGACAGCTTTGACAACACCTACCAGGTAAATTAATCCATATTATTGTCTTCTCTAAAGCGCCTCTGTTGCTGTGTCTCCTGTTGCAGGAGGAATCCATTTGATTACGGTGGGTAAGAGTTGATACAGTGACCAAATTCTTAACTATAAAATCTTTAAGCTTTCTGTTTTAATAACCTTTCAGAATGGCATTTGTGTTGGATTCTGCTCAGTAGTTTATCTGCTACTTGCAGCAGGATGAGCTGTGGTTCGAAAGGATAGGCTTCTTAGGTGTACCCAACTGATAGCAACTGGTAAGTCTACCAGTTGTTTTTTTTCACTATTTGCTACCAGACCATCACAAATCTAATGCCTCTGTGGAGAAGATGTAACAGGCATTTTGTGGACTGTGGAGCAGTAACCAGTGAATTGTAAAGCTGGGTGTACTTTTGTGCCATTTTATGCTGTCTGCTGGAACAAAGACCACAAAACTGGTTGTTGCACATCCCCATCCTGTGACTGCTTATTTATTTAAACAAGGTTGGATTGGCAAGGTTGGGGCTGAAGCAGGGGCTGTCTTTTATTCCAGTCAGCCCTGCACTGCTTTGTGTGTTTGGTGACAAATCAGTTCAAGGTGACACAAGCTAACTTTCCTAAACTCTAGGAGAGCCTTTGTTGTTGCCCACTCCCAGAATTTAGGATGAACTTGAAAAGGTGGCAAGCTATAAAAGTACTTTAGTTTCATAAAGTGTGTCTTCTCCAAGCAGAACATGTTTCATGACTTGGTTACAGTTGGTGACGTTCTGCATACACTAAGCTGAGAAAAATCTGTTCCCTGATGAATGTGAAGGGCTTTTTAGGGGAGTGGGAGGAGGAGGTAATGGGAAAAAAAATAAGAAAAATGCTGTGACTCTTCTGTTACTTAGTGTATCCAAGTATCTCGTTTAAATCTCCCTTAATGATTTCCTTCCTGCCTCTTCAGTAATTCTTCATTGCTGCTGCTAGGCAAGTTGGGTAGAATGAGATGGAAGTTCTGACTTTTAACTATGGGAGAAGCAAAGCTTCTATGGTGTAGGAGGGCTAGAGTACACAGCATTGCTCTCAGGGGAGCAAACATCCTTTCAAAATCTACCCACTGGTAATTACATGGACATGTGAATGCAGTTCTTTTATTTAATCTGTTTCTTTCCCACAGTATTTTTCTTTCAGGTCTGCTCCTTTTCTCTATGGAACTTGCGTCCTAGTTCTTTCTTGAAGAGGTTTGACCCTCTGTGCTTTATGATAATATAGTTGTCTCCATGGGAAGCTGCTCTGACATAATATACTAAATGATTGCAAAATGAATGAGTGGGACTTAAACCAGTAAGAAATCTTAAGGGCTTACAAGATAGCTTCAATTTAGCTATCGCTGATGCGTGCCTAGTTTGGGTGTTAATGTGCTTGGTATAGTGTCATTCATCTGAAGACCTCTATTTTACTGAAATCATGACTGAGATAGGATGATATGTCCTATTTTGCTGTATCTGGAAGAGAAAATGTATCATAAAAACTCCACTAATTTGGCCCAAATCACACCGCATGTTAGTGTCAAATCAGAATATAGATTTATGATGCCCAAGATTATATAGAGACCTTTCAAAGCCAAGTACATGACTGATAATACATGTCAAACCATGTACGTGGTTAACTGTAGCTGTAGGTTAGTTGATGGATGATGAAGTTCTGGACACTTCTGATAAATTTTGCATGCATATTTTCTGAAAGCTGCCACAACCCATCATTTGAACAAGGTTTTTTTTGTGTTCAGCTGGTAAAAATAGAAAGCTGCCGTTTAGTAAAATCTGTGCTGTGCGTTAGTTTTTTCTCTTGCTGCTTGATAAGAGGAATTCAGCTGTTGCCTGTAGCTTATTAATAAGCTGTTTTCATGAAAGCAGCATTTGTGAATCAAACAAGAACTCTCTGTACTGTGTCAAGGAAACCCAAACACCTGAAATAAAATCATGCCATTGGTGGTGTATAGTTTACCAGGAGTGATTCTTCTCCATGGACATGCTGGGAAAGATTTTCCTTGTTCGTGGCACCTTACGTGATGTACAGTGAAAGACCAACGTTGGCAAACATGATGATTCTGTGTGTGTTATGAAAGAGGAGGCTTACAGGCCATGCTTCCCTTCAGCTTCAGCCTCTTGGAGAATGGGAGACGGAGGACAGTGTTGTTGAAACACTGGCCTATGACTTGAAAGATAATTCAGGTTCTCGCATTGCCCCGGGCTTCCTTGCATAGCCTTGGGTCATTCTGTGTCAGCAAGTATAGTCTATAAAATGGCGTAACAACGTTCCTTGTTAGACAGTAGCGTTGCAAGGACAGATGGATTAAAAAGTGTTCTCATACATATAGCATGGCCCTGTCAAGTTTTTTTGTTTGCTTTGCTTGTCATCTTTAAACTTGTAGTTGGGACTTACAGTACCTCACATCATATCCAGAGCATGTCTGGTGCCAGCATTTCACAAGCTGGTTAAACCTGCCTCCACCTTAATTATGGTAATTAGCCCAGTTTCAGGTCCATGTACTCTTCTCCATCAGTAAGCAGACTTTTCCTCTACTCGCACGGCTTTTCTTTACAACTGATCTGTAAAGATCCCCCAAGCATTTTTGCTGTTTCTGTCAGAATTGTGACAAAATGTCTCTCTGTATGTTACCTATTTTAATAAAAGTCTAGGATATATAGAGTGCTTCAGGCCACTCCTTGATACTGCTTCTCCGTGCGGTGATACGGTCAGAAGCATCAAATCCAGAAGTAGACAAATCCATTTGGCTGTACGTTATTCCATGTAGTTCTTAAAGCTGGTGGGGGCTTAGGTCAAGAGCCATTTCACAGCTTGAAAATAACAGACCTGCCAGACGTTCTTCTCTGCGATTAGCACAAATATTTTCATTGCCCAGATATAAAATAAGTTTTGTGCTTGGCCCTTCTGTTGCATTTCCCATGCCATGAGCATTCAAGAGCAGGAATCTTACTGACCCGATGTGTTTCTGCCTGGCACTCGCGTTACCACCAGGCATACAGAGACTTCTTATGGCAGCGAGTGAGCTTCAGAGCTGCTGAGCAGCTGTGTGGGAGGGATGGCATGAAGTACAGGCTGAGGCAGGTTTCGGGCTTTGCAGCTGATGTTGTAGCTCCTACTGAGAGCAGACAAAATCTTGAATCTCCAGCAGTTTGTCAGCCAAATGGGTTGTATATATGACTTGTATATATGGTGTAAGATCTTAGGGGCTTTGTAGCTTTTCTTCTGTAAAGCAAAATCAAATAGACACGAGGGAAAATAGAAGCATCTTTGAGGCAATCTTTCGAGGACTACCCTCTGTCAAAACAAGGGGTGGGGGGGAAGCAGAAGGGAAGCATGTTATTGCATTAGTCTTTGAGGCTTCTCATAGCCGCCTTACAGTTTCAGTGTTACCTCTCTGAACTGGTAATGTCACAGTTCTTGATGACAGGTGAAAAATCACTGGGTAGTCATCTTGAGATCCACCACCGTTTATTTTTTCTGTGGTACTCCAAATCCTGATCTACCCAGGAAAGTTTGTTTTCTGATCTATTAAGTTGCAAATGGAAATTCAGTCTGGATTGTTCAGTTCTGCTTTTTTAATTAATTTGCAGCTGTTTTTTTCTGTATTGCTCCCAAGCAGGCTGGCTGGCTCTGTTCTTTATTCCTGCCACGTAAAATATCTGGCAGAACACAAGGAATTAATTATGGGGATATATAGTGAGGGTATAATGGCAGTCTAACAGTATGGAGCATATACAGTAAAACAGACTTTCCATTAGAAATACCTGCCTCACTGTGGGAAGAGGTTGTATCAGGCCTCTTTGCCCTAGCTGAGAGACTTACCTCTTAGGATTTTTTTTTTTCTTTTTAAATCAATTTGTTTGGAACATCTTCCAGGCACTATTGATGTTGCTGAGCAGTGCAGCTGCTTGAGATGCTCGGTGTCGTGCTGAAGCCAGAGCAGCCTTATAGCTCCAGCAGCTCAGCTCGGTCCTGTCTCTGCTGCAGACAAACTCCTAGAGCTTGGATTCACCCTCACTGCAGCCTTGAAAAGTAGGGTGAAGATCTTGTATTTAGGAAGCAGCTCTTGGTAGCGCTTGGTAGTGTTTTGCTCCTTCTCTTAAACACATATAAGGATGTTCTATGCAAAGCTCCCACTAGTGTCTAGAAACTTGGATGCAGTTATGCTGCTGTGAACGTTAGTATTAACTGAGCTTTAGTAATTGTTGGGTGCAACGTGTGGGTGTGCGCTCTTGTGTTGCAGCAGATGTGAAGATGTCCACCTTAGCCTTAATGAAAAAGGCTTAAAGTTAAGATACGTGAAGGTATTTGGCAGTCAGGAAGAATACAGTGTGCCCAGACAACCTGGCTCAGCTGAAGGACACTAACTTAGGTCATATGCGTAAAAATCCTTGTTGATACCCATATGATTAAACTGTCAATGTGCATAAACTGAGGTTAAGGTTAACAACGTTTTGTGCTTTTAAGATAGTATTCTGGTTATGGATATTAAGGAAACTGCTTATTGAATCTTACTTATGGGTAGAGCTGTATCTTGAAAGTAAGAAAACCAGCATATTTTTCTTGCAGATACGCCACAGGTGCTGAATGCTGTTGTGGCAGTAATGCTCGCTCCCCTGAAAATCACTGCAGTTCTGACGTTTTATTTAAGAGGTGGTGTTTTCCTATTTTTTACAGGCAACAATTGGCATTGACTTCTTATCGAAAACCATGTATTTGGAGGATCGAACAGTGAGTAAGATTTTTGTTGCACTTCTTTATGTACAGTAGGAATGAGGATCAGCATCTGTTGTAATTGTGCAGCCCACAGTTCTGAGATCACTTGGAAGTACAGACTGAGCCTTCATCTACCAGCTGCTTCCAGACTGACAAGTGCTGTGGAGACAGCTCCCTTCTCTGTTTGGGGAAATGGGAAATCACCATTTGGTTCATCTGTGGAGGGCTCACGAGTGCCATTTTACAAGTGGCAGAAGGTGCTGTAGTGTCATTCTCTTCGAAGAAAGAGGTGATATGGATAGTTTGAGGGTGCATAATGGTGGGAATTTGAAGAAGGGGACTGTGCTTAACCCCTTCAGTTTTTGATATCACAAGACAGAAAGATAAAATATGAATTGCCAAATATTGCCAGTTAATAGCTAGCTTGATATTCTTAATATTACGTGTTTAAAAAGAAGGTTGCTTTCAGCAGTAATCCACAAATGATGCTTGTTTCATAGCTTGGTGCAGTTCTAGTTCCTGAAATTAAATCACTCCTCTGTGGAGGCAAGCCTGTGGTTTAAAATGAGCTCAGATTCTTAATTAAGAAATTCAGCCATTTGAGCTATTTGCAGAAGCAAATCGTGCAGTGCTGCATAAACTTATGGTATTGTGTAAACCCACAATAAATGTGATTGCATTGAAAGTACTTGAATGATAGGAAGTTCTTTCCATAGCAAAACTGGCCCTTGCGCATCTTGCCATATGTGTTGCTTTTAGTATATCTTGCCTTTTCTTTCAGAACATTGATGGTAAGGGATGTTCAGCCTCATCTGTGTGCATGTTACTTTGCAGTGTCGCAAAGGCTTAAACACAGAGTAATAATGAGCATTTTATCCTCTTTGAAAAATTCACATTAGTAGTAGCTTTTCCAGTGCTTTGACAGCAGCTGAAGGCTCTTCCTTGAGAAATATGTTGTGTGGTCTGATTCTTCCACCAGCAACCATCCTCCGGGCTGCTGGAGGTTACATGTCTGGGTCCTGAGGAAGGATAGCAGCAGAGCATGCAACTCTTGTGTAGGCAGAACTGCAGGTGAACATTTGCCTTAGTTTTCTTGTTCGTCCTCTCAGTTTGAAAGCTGAGCAATTCTATTTCTCCCCTTCTGGAAGGGAAGCATTCTTTGAAAAGCAAAGACAGCGGAAAGCCAAGATGGGTGCACATATACCATCTTGGCTACTACTAGCGCTTGGGAGAGAGTGCTGTAAAGGAGACAGTATGCTGCTGCTCCCAGTCCCCAGTCATCTCCTGCATGAGTTTATAAATTTTATTTAGCTTTTTTTAAAAAAAAAAAAAAAATTTATTTACTCTTTTATTTTTAGTGGCAGTTTGGCTTTTTTAATTTTCTCCCACCCACAGATCAGGTTGCAGCTGTGGGATACTGCGGGTCAGGAACGTTTCCGTAGCCTCATTCCCAGTTACATCCGTGACTCTGCTGCTGCTGTAGTAGTTTACGATATCACAAGTAGGTATATTGCACTGGGTTTGACCTTTTTCTTATTTTTCTTGCTTGTTTGACTGATTTTGTTAGGTACGGTTGCAATTATGGGACACAGCAGGTCAAGAACGGTTCAGGAGCTTGATTCCTAGCTACATTCGTGACTCCACTGTTGCAGTTGTTGTTTATGATATCACAAGTGAGTGGGGGGAATTCTGCATTTCTAATACTCTGCCCCTTTCATCCTTTAGCCTAGCTTTGCATGTCCTATCAGACTCATCTGCTTGTTCTTCATTCTGGCATGAAAAAAATACACACTTTCTTGAATTGTAGTCAAGTTTTAAGCTACCCACCTGATCACTGCTTTTATAATGTATAAACTGTCTTACAAATTACATCATTTTGTAACCCTTTCCTATTGCATTTTCCTGAAGCCTTGAGTCCTGACTGGTCTTGTTGCACTTTACCCTCTTTCATCTGCTTTTTGATCGTAATACCATTTATGCCTTTTGGTCTCAAACACCTGAATCATGTTCATAGGTATCTGAATTCTTAAATTGGAGACTTTGCACTGATAGCTGTAGCTTGCTTCACTCCATTTGCCCCCCCCCTCCCCGATCTGAGCATGGGCTGGGGGGAAAATGCATTAACATCACATTTTCATTTGAATCAGTCACTTTCACATTTTGCAATATGTAAAACTTACCACTAAGCCCTTATCCTTTAACAATTGCTCTTTCATTTCTTACTAAGGTATGTACATTTTTGTGAACTAAAATATTAGTGCTTTTTCAACCCTTCTTCTGTCCCTCCCCTCAGTCCAGAGACCCCTAACTTACTAGCTTTCTGTACTTACAAAACAACAGAAATTTTGTTTTAGGAGAACTAAACGAGAATTGACTGAGAGCAATGGCCTAATTCTATGCAAATCCAAAAGCGCTCGTCCTTTGATTTA